AAGTAATCCTAACTCCAATTTCACAAAATTATTCACACTGTTACGTACTCCAAAAGCAAAACACCTCAGCTGCAATCTTAGCCCCAATATAGTTCCTTAAAACTGAAATAATTCCTTGAGAAATAAAAAGTTAAAATAGGAATAATTAAACAATAGAGTTAGCAGATCAGAAACTGGGCAAAAAAGCATAATTTAGTGAGAAAAATAAAAATAACTTTAAACTGGGTGGCTATAATCAAAAGAAGATAAGAATGGACATTTAAGATCTTATTAAATTAAATTAAATTAAGTAGTTATATACAAAACATTTCAGAAAAAAGCTGAACATTAAATGTCACAGTATATACGTGAACAATAACTGAAATGGGACACCAACTCATTAGTGCTGATTTCCTTCCGCCACTTATGTAAGTGACCTTCTTATGAAAATTGTACCAGAGTCTTAATGACACACAGTATTTTTTATTTTTGATGACCACTTAGAGGTAACGTAAAAATAACAAATTGACAACTATAGTTTCAGAGACACCGAGAACATATAAGCACATGTAAGTTAGGCTATCTGTCTGCCTTCCCGAGGTGGAGTGCTTGTTATAATACATACCTTTATTTGGCTGAAATTCTAAGAAGATGAGTTTTATTTTGCTGTTTCTGTTTTTGGAGGTTTTCTTTTTCTGTTTTAATTTTTAATTTTGTTCTCCTAATTTACCCAATGAACCAATTCTTATGATCATCATGAGAAAAGAAAACTTGGCTCTCACTGGATCTTGTAAAAAACTAAAAGGGTTTTAGGGTATTGTCTTACTCCACTCAGGCTGCTATAACAAAATACCATAAACTGGGTGGCTCATAATCGAAAGAAACTCATTTGTTACATTTCTAGAAGCTGGGAAGTCTAAGATCAAGTCACCAGCCAATTCGGAATCTGGTGAGGGCCCCTTTCCAGGCTCACAGATGGCACCGTCTTGTGGTGTCCTCACATGGTGAAAGGGGCAAACGAGCTCCCTTGGGCCTATTTCATGAGGGTGCTAATCCCATTCATGAGACCTCCACCCTCATGACCTAATCACCTCCCCAAACGCCCCACCTACCAATACCATCACCTCAGGGGTTAGGTTTTCAACATAAGATTTTGGGGGGGACACAAACACTCAGAACTTAGCAAGTCCAGTAGAGGAAAATGCTAAGATTACAGTAGGAAGGAAGGACATTTGCATTTGCAGGCCCCCTCTCCTCTGGGGCTGTGCCCATGGCGACAAGCATGCCTCTAGTCCTCCTTCATCCCATTCCCTCTCTCTTCCTGCTCCCTCAACCTGTGTAAGCATTTCATAAAGGTACACTACTAACTAATTTAAAATCTGGTTTTGGCAGTTCTATCTGCAGAACCTATTAAAATAGGGTTTTTTTAGAGAAACATTTGAGGAGGGTTTTGTCATATAAATGTATTAATATAAATAAGTGGCTCTACTGAGAGTGGCCAGGCATTCAGGGACTAGGCAAATTAAGAACACAAAGTTATAAAGAATTGCTGAGGGAAAAAAGGAGGGGCAGGGCACAGAAGGAGTAGTGTAAAGTACAGTCCGAAGAAACTAGCCTCCTCTTACAAATTCATCATAGAAATTCAGCCTTTAAATAAGATCTGAATTCTCCAGATGTAATGCTCTTCTTTCCTAGGTTTTCATTGGACTTCACATAATTAAAACCTAACACTAAAAAACAAAGAAAACAAAAACAGATTTACCAGAAAGAGAATATCAGGTTCACAGTTTTCCTGGAGGATTTATTCGGTTATTCCTCTAAATACCAACGTCCTCTAACTCGTATAAGATTTAAGTTGAGTTGGTGGGGGGTGGTGATGGGGGAGAGACAGAGAGGAAGAAAGCAGGAAGAAGGAAGGAAGAAAGAACTTTTCAGAAACACATCCACTGCCAAAAATGAAGAACACCTGAAAAGGCATCTTAACATTTTTGTTAGAGTTCTAAGTACTTTCCAAGTGGGAAAGCACCTGCTACCCAACTATTGTTATTTTCTATTTCATGCTCAAAACAAACACAAATGAAAACGCAAATTTGCCAGGTTGACATGAAAATGTGAGCCCCAAACAGCAAACGCTTTAATCAATAACTCTTACCTGGGTACCAAAAAAGTCTGAGTACAGGGTTTGATTTAAAGGGGATTAGACACCAGTAACTCAATACAGACAACAAAAACTGTTCTTCATTTCTCTAAGGATGCGTCAGTTGTCTCAGTGAGTGAGTTCTTCATGATCCTCCCTTCAGCTTTCTTTCATTTTCCCCTGCAAAATTTGAAATGTCACATACTACATGTGGTATTGGGGAAGGGGGGAGTTGTTCCAAATTTCCCATCCTTAAGAAACTTACAGCCTACTGCAGAGATTCTCAATCCTAAATGTACATCAGAATCTCTGAAGAACTTCTATAAAAATGCCAACGCCAGGTACCATCTGTAGAGATTCCAATTAAATCAGTCTGGAGTGGGGCCTGAGCATCAGCATTTTTCAAAGCTCCCCAGGCAATGTTAATGTTCATCGAGGACTGCTGACCCAGGCATTTGCCTTGTGATTCGGGTGTATGGCCACTGCCTGCGTGGTCTGTTGGATTCTGACAGGGCCAGGAGCTCCTGGGATAAAGGCAGGTGCATCATTATCCATGGCATCAATCCCCACAAGCCACCAGATGACAAGGCCTCAGAAGCTGGTGAGCTGATCAGAGAGGTAGGGCCCTTAAATGGGGAAGCTTGGAATCCGTAGGTTGCTTTGCTTTCGGCTTTGGTTGTAATGAAGGTGAAGGGATCCCTGTGGGAGGAAGTAAAGTGGCTCCTGCTCAGTGGAGACAGGTGAGCTCAGAAGCCATCCCAGCCACTGTTTTAGGAACTGGAGGCCTAAGGAGCTATGACAGAATCAGAAACCAGCAGTCCAATTAATTTTTATCCTGCATTTTTTTCTTTTCTTGGTTTATTTCCTTTTTGCCATTCTTTAATTTTAGAAAAGCTTTGGGGCTATAATTCATGTCTGTATGGGAGGAAATCCAGGCCTGTGTTTCTTGCCAACGCTCCCACAGGGGGCATTACTGGGGAACTAGCTCCCACTGAAGGCCCCAGCTCCCACTGAAGGCCAGCCAGGTGGTGGAATCTGAGATCACACAGATGGAGAACTCAGTGGGCCAGAGCTGGTGCAGTCTGGTCAGCTTCCCTCCCTTTACAGAGGCAGAAGGCCTGACTGCCCGTGGGATCACGAGGTTTCACAAAGGTGGCCTGGTAAAGCCATCCTTGAAAGTGCAATCTCAGTGAGTATCTACCAGATGTGAGCAATCAGCTCACAGACTTGGTGGGGCCATGACACAGCAGTATTCACACCTTCCCAGAGAACTAGAGGATAATCTGAGGGGGGTTTTGGTGGGGTTTTTTGTTTGTTTGGCTTTTTTTTTTTTTTTTTTAAATGGGGAAATTCACCATTTTAAAAAATACAAGGGACCATCTGTTTATACCANGAAGCTGGTGAGCTGATCAGAGAGGTAGGGCCCTTAAATGGGGAAGCTTGGAATCCGTAGGCTGCTTTGCTTTTGGCTTTGGTTGTAATGAAGGTGAAGGGATCCCTGTGGGAGGAAGTAAAGTGGCTCCTGCTCAGTGGAGACAGGTGAGCTCAGAAGCCATCCCAGCCACTGTCTTAGGAACTGGAGGCCTAAGGAGCTATGACAGAATCAGAAATTAATTTTTATCCTTTATCTTTTTCTTTTCTTGGTTTATTTCCTTTTTGCCATTCTTTAATTTTAGAAAAGCTTTGGGGCTATAATTCATGTCTGTATGGGAGGAAATCCAGGCCTGTGTTCCTTGCCAACGCTCCCACAGGGGGCATTACTGGGGAACTAGCTCCCACTGAAGGCCCCAGCTCCCACTGAAGGCCAGCCAGGTGGTGGAATCTGAGATCACACAGATGGAGAACTCAGTGGGCCAGAGCTGGTGCAGTCTGGTCAGCTTCCCTCCCTTTACAGAGGCAGAAGGCCTGACTGCCCGTGGGATCACGAGGTTTCACAAAGGTGGCCTGGTAAAGCCATCCTTGAAAGTGCAATCTCAGTGAGTATCTACCAGATGTGAGCAATCAGCTCACAGACTTGGTGGGGCCATGGCTTTTTTTTTTTTTTTTTATGGTGAAATTCACCATTTTAAAGAATACAAGGGACCATCTGTTTATACCAAGAGAACCAAGACCCAGAACATCCAGGATAAGGAGAAATAGATGTATTCCAACCTCTTCTACCCATTTCTACCACCTATTTCCTGCCTCTACCTGGTTAGAAAATTGGACTCATTGTTTTTGGTTCAAGAATCTCTGATCTTTTTCTAGTAAAAATATACCTTTTAATTTCCTTGGATCTTGAGACCACTTGGAAGCCAGGAGAGGGCAAGCTGATTGACAGTGAAACAGCTGACATGGAGAAGGGAAAGAGCAGGAACTGGTGTTGCAATCAGGAGAGAGTCCTCTAGAGAGGCAGGGACTGGGACACAGTGGGAACCCACAGGGTCATGTGCCAAACACTTCCTTTCTGGGATCTGTCTTCCCAGTCCATAGGAGTGACTCTAGCTATTTTATCTACTTGACCTTGCTTGTTTGAATCTTCCCCAGATTCACTGAGATATTCAGTGTCTTTCGAATAAATGCCCTGTTTGCTTAAGACTAGCCAGAGTCACCCGGGTTTTTTTCAAAACCACAAAGACCCTCACTAATGCAGCTCTGCAGACTCACTGTCTCACCAAGAATCCATCTAGGGGGAGGACGGCATGGAGACTTCCAGGGAAGGCCTATGAGCACATCCCAAACCACCGGGGAGGAGATCCTGTTGTGTGGGGACCTCATTTTCTAAGACTATTTCCTTTTTTTCCCTTACCTTCTCTCTGTCCCTCACATCACTGTCCACATATCAGCTGGTTCAGGGCTTTATGTAACTTGATGTTACCCATGTTGAAATTCAGTGCAGTTTGGCATTTGGTAATTATGTGGGCTATGTTCTTTATAACCACTTAATAAATGCCTGGTGGACTGTTTTGGCAACTGGACATTAAGTGGCACAGAATTCATCCTTTAATCTACCAAGCAGAACGTTCTAAGGCACAAGCATCCAGAATGGACAATCACTGAGCTGTCCTCCACGTTCCTCTGTGCTGAAGGTGGGGAGTCCTGGTCAGCCCTGGGGCAAGGCAACTTACACCCTAAAGCATGAATGACCCTCAAACCAGACTATCAGGAGCCTGACTACAGAGAAGACCTAGCAGGTCATTTCACACTCTTTTATTTAAAAGACTCATAATTATGTTGCTATAATGAGGACCACACACTACTACACTATAGGATCCTAGTGGGAGACATCCAAGGGCAGTGTCCACAAACTCTGCTTGGGGTCCAAAGGCCTCCCCTTTACACACCTGTTCTTTCTTTCTCCCCAGGGTTCTCCTATCACACACTGTAGCTTTGGAAAGGCAACAGAACGTAATGGTTAAGAGCATGGTCTCTGATGCTACATTACCCAATATTCTCAGCTCCACCATTCACTAGCCAAGTCACCTAGAGCAAGGTACCTAACCTCTCTGTGCCTCAGTTTCCCTGTCTGTAAAATGGAACTAATGATAGTATTTAGCTCATAGGGGTGTTGTGAGAATTAAATATTAACTCACTTAATACATGTGAAGGATTTGGACCAATTCTTGGCACTTAAGAAGCAGGTAATAAGGAAGAGCTATTATCATTTGGGGCCTGGGTTAACAAGGGAGAAAAAGAGAGTATCTGAGAAGTGATGATACCTCACGATATGGCCAACTACTTGCCACACATCTGAACTCTAGAGTTCCTCATTACCTCATTCAACATTCTCTTACAAAACATGTTTATCGAGCAGCAACCAGAGTGGAGGGTCAAGTGAAGCAAGGACAGCACCAGGGTGGGGGTGGAAAGACAGTTCTTGCTCAGAGCACACACCTAGTATGTGTGGGTGAAAAGTTACATGGGATTCCATTGTACTGTGCTAAATGTTGGGTATAACGTGGGGAGCAACAGAGACAGGGTCTCCGGCCTCATGAAGGTTTCATTCTAGTAGAAGGGACAGATTTTATTAAACAATCAACCTAAATAAAAATATAATAATAAACTGTGTCACACTGCATGAAAGAAAAGTGTGGGGTGCTAAAGGGTATACACTGAAAGGGGAGGGAATATCATGGAAATTCATGAGACCTGAAGGACAAGTAGAAATTACCCGGGCAGAGTCAGGAAGAAGTATTCCAGATGGAGAAGGCAACGTGTGCAAAGGCCCCAAGGCAGGAAAGAGCTTGTGTTCAAGGAGCTGAAAGAAGGCCAGAGGGTCTGTTAGTTAAAATGTGAGGGGGGTGGGGTGGTCCAAGAGGAGGCAAGAGAGCTGGCAGACATGCACTATCCTTATGCTGACCGAAGGAAGAATGCAGTTTTGGGGTCTCCTGTCCATTACACTTTCTAGGTAGTTCATATTGGTAGCAAGAACAAAAATTCTTACAGCAAGTCAAGATAAGAAGAGCACTTGCTGCTTACTTACATAAGACA